TTACGCAAAGTATGCTGATATTGCAAAAGTTTCGACAATTTTCGGTGCATGATGCATTTTATCCGGCCGATCTAAGTTTCTAGAACGGCTAAATTTCTGGGGCTCGTCGTTTCCCGACACGTGCGCAAGACAATCTGCGATTCGGCGAGTTCTTAGAGAATCTTTTCCTATTTTTCTCACGCCACGTTGTGGAATAATCGTCCAGCGGGTAATATTTAACGTCGGATGTGTGCTCGTGAGCGTCGCGAGTTCCCGACGTGAAACGAGCAACCGACCGTTCGTCGCTGATAAATGTCTATCTTATCCTTTTACGACATCCCGGCAATAACTTCGTTTATGGTTGTCGCCGATATCGAGCGAATGGCAAGTACAAACAATAATTCCGTGTGTATGACGCGGAGCAATAATTAGGATTGCAAACGTTAATTAAGTAACGTGGGCCTCGGCTCGTCGTGCGTGGCTCGTAAAAGAGATTAAAAAGGCGCGATAAGAGATTTACCGAGTCGACTAAATCGCGCGCAATGTCAAGTGTCCTCAGCCGCGACGCGTTCAACGCGTACAACGGTGCGTACAACGACGACGGCGACGCGGAAATTCGACGACGGAAAAACGCGAGCTCGGAGCTTTATCTCCTGCTCGCTGCAAATTCATGTCGCCGCGGCAACAAGGGCTGCGCGCTTGATCGCCGACGCACCTTCCACGCACGATTCGATCGAGCGCGTGTGATTTTCAGCGAGACCTCGAAAGCCACGTTCGCTCTAAATACGGATAAGAGTCGGCCGATGGCAGGCCGCACAACTTTTGTTTCCGGAGTTTCCGAACGAACGGCTCATACGCGTGTCGATTCCCAAGTACGTTAGCGACTTCGCGATGGAGAAAAACGCCGGCGGAGACAACGGAGACGTGTCGTCGGCTCGCGCGTCGTTACGCGAACTTCAGCCCATCGATATAGAACGAGCCGATTGTCGAATCCGGTTTGAACGACGATCCGCCGGGGGCCAATGGTGAATAGTCGATGCGATCATATGCGACAGCTTCGGAATGTTGAGGCCAGCCGCAAAGCCGTGCGGCCCTATACAGACGTAATCCGTAATCCTTCAATTATTATCGAATTACAACAATTATGGCCGAGGATGTGTATTACGAACGGCCGGTACCTGTCGTACGCCGATACGAGTCGCGCGTTGCCAACTTCCGTCTGCCCCCCCCCCCACTTAGTCCGGCCGAAGTGGCCTCTCTCTCTCTCTCTCTCTCTCTCTCTCTCCCCCCTCTCTTTCTCCGTTTCTCTCCGTCTACCGTTCTCCGATATATCAGCCGCTTTGAAGATAGTCTCTCTACGCGGACCCGAGCGTCGCGTGGATCACACGCTGATTAGAAACACCGGGAGAGATTTTCCCGCAGTTATCCGCATCATCGTCCCGCGGCGTCAGCCTCTCGCAGGCCCAAGGCGCAACATAAATCATCTCCCCCCGGTGTCGCAGCAATGCCGCAAGTTTCTGGACGCGATACCTCGCGTCCGGCCCCCGACTGCCGTCTTCGACTTTAATCCACCGTAGGTGTGCGACAAGTGTGTAGTCGTCGCATCTCAGCGGCGAATGACGTCGCTCGCGCCCCGTACGCGTCCACATAACTCGGCCGGACCGCTTCAAAAATCAGGAGACACCCTGGCGAGCGCGCGTCCTACCCCGCGGCCGTTCCTCGTACGTAACCCTGCGCGCACTCACTCTCTCTCTCTCTCTCTCTCTCTCTCTCTCTCTCTCTCTCTCTCTCTCTCTCTCCCCCTCTCTCCTCCTCCCACCCCCCCTCTCTCTCTCTCTCTCTCTCTCTCTCGTCCCACCAGACCGCCACCGAGTCGCGCCGGTGTGCTCCCACTCCAGTTGGGGCTCTGCAAAGTCACACGCACACACCGGCAAATAACGCCCACGCCACCCGCGCGGTAGGCGTGGCCATCTTGTCATTTGTCTCCTCTACTTTCCCCGAGGCGTTAGGGGATCCCCGGGATGGCGCTCTGTTCCTAGCTTGACGTATGTACTGCCGCTACAACCCCCGTTTTCGTATCGCGCTCTTCGTTTTCCGTGCGCCCGCCGCGCGTTCTCCTCCATCGAGTGCTTTAGAACGCCGTGTCCCTCTTCGCCCAGCCGCCCACCCTTCGCCACCCCGCCGCGTCGCCGATAGCGCCGGTCTCCATCTCTCTCTCCCCCCCCCCTCTCCTCTTGTCTTCTTTTCCATTCTCCCCGCGTCTATCTCTCCCTCGGAAGACGATTTTCCAGCCCCGCGCCGTTCCGTTCCGTTCCGTTGCGTGACAACTTCTTGACGCCAGTCACGACATTCTCGGCTTCCCTTTACCGGCGACGATTCTCTTACGAGGATCACGCGCGGCCCACTTCGTCGTTGACCCTTTCGGACCGAGCTGCCCGCCAACCCCCTCCTGCGATAAGGGTGAGACGGGCGAGCACCCGTCGTGTCTCCCGCGAGTAGTTCCGCGGAGCCACCGAGTTATTTGGTTAGCCGCAGCACGACGATCGAAATCGTAAATATCATAGATGGGGAATGCATGGCGCTGCTCTCGTGGAGTTTCCAACTAGGTTGATTCCGTCGCGGTTCTCTCAAGCTGAAAGTGACTTGTCGGATGTAGCTGTCTTCTTCCCCCGTCCTCCAATGTCGTAGCGGCTTTCACGCGCATGAAGGCTCCGTGTCTCTTCGTGTGATATCCAAGTATTGTACAATTACTGTCTTCATTCAAGGGATAAGAAGTGTCCCTCTTCCAGCGTTGTTGTTTAGTACATGTCGCTCCACATGTGCTCTGTCCGAGAGATCCTGATCGCGGTAAACAGACTCTGATCAGGCCCTGTTGATATGTTGATGTTACAGTCCACAGAATTACGTCTGTTGATCGTATAGGGTTATACCGCATGCTACCAATATCATCCAAGATGATGCTCTCACGCGATCCGTTCACTGGTCAATCCGCTGACGATAAGTCGCGATCCACGGACCGACGAACGTCGCGTCGTCGAGGGAGGAAGTGCACAACAGACGGCCAAGGAAGAACGTACGCATGCGACGGTGCAATATTTCCTGGATCGTCCGGTTGCACCTGGATCTCCGACGGCTGGAGTCGGTGGCGATCAATATTTTATCATTCGACAAGGCGAACCCGACGGCCGAGGGACGGCCGTCGTTTTTCCGCGAGATCACCGGCGCGAGTCATAAAGTCGGAGCGCGCGACGTTGTGCTCGAGACACACCTCTTGAAATCGAATAGAACGCCCGATACAAACGACTCCAGACGTCCGCGGCAGGCAGTCCGATATTTGCTCTCCGGCTGATAAGCCGAGCGATAAGTGCGTAGCGGCGGTCTCGATTTTCAGCGCGATCTTCACTCCAACTCCAACTGCGAAAACTCGAGTTACACGACCGTCATCTTCGTTGACGCCCACGCCCAGCACTCGGGACAGCCGAAATTCACGCTGATGAGGGAACCCGCAAGAACAAAACGCAGGGATCTTTGGGATGGTCGAAGATCCGCTCGAGGCAGCTGCTAATAACGCAAGTCTCGTAAATCGCCAGCATCATTAGGTGACATTAGACACCTTGCGCTCTCTTCCAGCCAACGGTGTCTCTCTACGAGACACGCGAACGTGACCCACCCTTAATGCCCGGGAAGTTGACCCTCCGCAACAACGCGCGAGGGACTTGAGCCGTTTCGTCGCCTCGGTCGTTTTGCTGGTCGCGTATGAGAATTTCTAGATCAGCGAGCGGAACGAAGCATTTTACGCGCGGACAGCGGAGGCCGATCAAGTCTCTTCGCCGGTGGATCTCGCATGGTCAAGGCGACGTGAGGCCGAACGGAAGAAGCAACAAACGATAATCGTCGTAATGCGATAAGATCTCGCGACGAGTTTGCAACAAGAAAAGAGAGAGAGAGAGAGAGAGAGAGAGAGAGACAGACAGACAGAAAGCACACCACGTGTGCGTGTACGTCCGCTCGAGGGGCAAGCATGCCGGTCACCGTCGGCAGCGTAGGAGGGGCAACGCGACGGTCAAAGGTGGGGTTGGAGTCCAGAAATAGGTAGGGATGGATCGGGAGGGGTGCGCGTTGGCGATAACCGAACGTTAACTGGTGTGCGACCGTGCGTCTGGAGCAACTATGCCGCGAAAAAAAGACGCGAGAGGGATCACGGCGGAGGCGCGGAAATAGAAGCGCTAGCCGACGACGCGAATGTCGCCGAAGAGGACACGAGGAGAAAGAGGAGGATCAGGAGGACGAGCGAAAGACAGAAGAAGAAGAAGAAGAAGAAGAAGAAGAAGAGCAAAAGCAGAAGCAACAACAACGGAGCCGGCGGCACTAGGGGTTGTCGGCGGACCACACGTATACGCACACGAGGTGGCGGCCAGCAGCCGACGAAGCTAGAGATGGCGGGATGCGGAGAGAAAGATGCACCGTGTGCGTTTCCGGAGGAAGGGATGCTGCGTGCGAGGAAGACGCGCGCCATGGAGGGGTGTCAGCTGGAGGGACAACGGAGGAGGGACAAGACGGCGGAGGCGTAAGAGATCGCGGGAGACGCGGCGGCGGGGGCAAGGACGCGCGCGGACGAAGCGCGAAGGAGCGAGCGGGAGGGTGAACATCGCGCGACTCGCGCCCAGAAGAGAGACACAGTCGAGCCGCGTTCGAGAGGGGGGGGCAGCGGCGCGGGCGGCGCGGCGGAGCACAGGCGTGAGAGATCGTGCCAAGGGGGAGAGAGAGTTGTGTGCGGTGCTGTATAGAGTGCGAGAGACGAGTGCTGGAGAACGAGCGAGATGCGCTAGGTGGGGGGTAGCCAGCCGGGTGTGTGGAGGTGAAGAGAGAAGGAGCGGATGGAGGGGAGTAAGAGCGAGCGAGCCGGAGGGAGAGGCGCAGTCAGACAGTCAGGCAGGCCGCCCGGCAAGCAAGGCAAGGAAGGCAGGGCAGGCAAGCAGGCAGGCAGGCAGGCAGGCAGGCAGCCAGGCAGCCAGGCAGGCAGGCAGGCAGGCAGGCAGGCAGGCAAGCTAGCAGGCAGCCAGTGCACCAGCCAAGACCACTAGATCCGCTCGGCTTACCGACTTAGAGACTTAAGCCGGCAGGCAGTCCGAAAGGCTCAACCGGCTAAGCCTGGCGGACCCACCTACCACCGACTTACGCAGCGGCCACTACACCGTTCCATCCACCAGCGGGAAAATCGGAGTACACCGCTGCGATCCGCGGCACCGCCGCCGCCTTCTTCTTCTTCTTAGAATTTTCCTCCATCTCCGGCTCCCGCTCCGCGCCGCTGCTCCTCGCCGACGACGCATCTCTTTTGACACCGGCGCCCGGCCCGGCGTTAAGGGCGGAGGTGCAAGCAGTGACGTTGTTAGTGCCGCGCGGTGTCTCCCGATCACTACTGACGCGCTCGTGTCAACGCGACGTGTCCGACGTCGCCGTGGTCTGTCGCGAGAAAGGGAGCACCCGGTCGGGCCGTCGCCCGGACGGCGAGTCGCGCCGAATCGCGACCGTGCGGATCCATGTAGTGGAGTTCCGGAGTGGAGGACGGGCTACCAGTCTATCCGGAAGTGGTGATAGTTTAGGTCTTGGTGTCGCGAAGGGAGGTGCCGCGTTCGTCCGTCGCAAGCGTCGTTAACGACGTGACTCTGATCGCGGCAGGAGTCAGTGAATGTTGCTTCTCGGTGAAGGTCTCGCTGGGGAAAGAGACAGAAAGAGAAAAAGAGACTGATGGTCGACGTAGTGCTGAGGGTACCCCGTGGAAGCCTGACTGCGTCTTCTCCTTTACGTCGGCAGCCTACGGGACTCGTCCCGAGCACAACAATCTTGTGAAAGGACAGACGCAGCAACTAGCCGCAGATATCGAGCACGTGAAGGTGAAATCAAGGCGAGATCTCCTTGACAGTCGGTGACGATAAGGAGCGGTGGTGAAGCGGGAGACGCACCGAAAGATGAAAAGCCAAGCGCGAAATAAAAAACCCGGGAGGAAAGCGTGAGACGTGGAAACGTCGGGAAGTGTTGCTCTGCACGATAACAGCGCTAGTTTAACCCACTTGGGCGCGTGACTCTACGACTCTCCTCGCCGCATGCTTACGTAACGACCGCGACGTCGGTCACTCGATTCGTCGCAGCTACGTGTCGAGGCGCGTGTCACGCACGTGAGCGCGACGTGCGGTGTTCCACCCCGAGAATCGACGCGCGAATCCACGAGAGCGCCCCATCTCGGATGCCGACGGCGCGCAGCGTCGCGTTCGCGCGTACCTCGTCTATCGACGCTCACCAAGACCCGGAGCGCGAGGGTTGACCGACCGGCGGACGGCCGGCCGCCGACGGCACGGCGAACGCGCTGTGCCCAGCAGCTCGAAGTAGCTCGCACCCTGCGCGTCAGACGCACCGAGCTCTTCGGGAAGCCACGTCGACAAGACCCACCCCGCCCGACCTGTCCTCGACCACGTGAAGGACCATCGCGCACCGAATCGTTAACCGACGGAGACATTGACATTGACGAGCCGACCGTCTGAGAGCAGTCTGTGCGACCGCGGACTGGAGTGTCCCCGTCGTCTGCGAAGGGAACCGGGTCGCCGGGTGGGACTCTACGCGTTCTCTACGAAGGAAACGAACCGCTTGATGCCCTCGGCCGGCCCTCGTCGTCAGTCGTAGGGAACGCGCAAACGCGACACTTGCGGCGTTTCTTCGGCTCCGCGGCAAGCGAGGCGCTTGAATGTGTCCTTAGGACGAAGCGTGGACGAAAGACCGGCGGGATTCGCGGCCTGATCGCGGGCCAGGTTGATCGTGCTTTGAGTCGTAAGGAACAGTCAACACGACGTTAACCTTCTACAGTATGGAGCGGGGCGGCGGGGGCGGGGGGAGCCTCGAACTCGCCGGGGGCGGAGGCGGTGGAGGCGGCGGAGGCGGCGGCGGTGGCGGAGGCGGCGGTGGTGGCGGCAACGCGGACCTGTGTCTTCAGGATCTCGTGACCGGGCCGACGAGCGGCCTCTCGGTGCAGCATCATCAGCACGCGACCGCGGCGACCGCCTCGATGGCCGGTCTCCACGGCGACCATCTGCAGGGCGCGATGCACCATCACGACCTGCATGGTAACTCGCATCACGACACCTCGATGCTGCACAACTCGAGCCACCAGCTGCACCACGAGCCGCTGGAGAAACTTAAACGTGGTGAGTCGTTCACAATACTATAAAGTACGGTCTCTCGCGAGAGAGAGAGAGACAGACAGAGACAGAGAGAGAGAGAGAGAGAGAGAGAGAGAGAGAGAGAGAGAGAGAGAGAGAGAGAGAGAGAGAGAGAGAGAAAGAAAGAGAGACGGTCCCACAGCATCCGGCGTCTTGTGTCGGCCGCCTTGCTGCGGTTACTCTCCTCAGCAGCGCTCGCTAACGACTGATTTATTTACGCCCGATTCATCACCCGGTTGTCTTCCTCATCCTCCCGTCCTCCCAGGGGGAGGGAGCCGCCGTGTGATCGGTAATTTCGCGAGGAAAAATTACGTACACCCGCCGAATGCGCGCGTGTCTGTGGTATCGATAAAATTTGTCATCGCTGAGAGCGAGAGAGAGAGAGAAAGAGAGAGAGAGAGAGAGAGAGAGAGAGAGAGAGAGAGAGAGAGAGGGAGAGAGAGAGAGAGAGAGAGAGGAGAAAGTTCTCCGAAAAGAATATTGATTCTTCGTTAATTCGTGTTTCAAGTTTGTATTTTTGCTTTGTGAGGAGCGATCGCGGCCTATTTTGACGTACGTCTGCTAAATCTCTCGAGATCTACGATCTAAATGTCTCGAGCATGCGATTCTCTACTTCTTTTTCTCTCTCTCTCTCTCTCTCTCTCTCTCTCTCTCTCTCTCTCTCTCGCGGCGTGGATCGTAACACGTACGGGTATCTGTATAAATATGTTATTTTAAGACCCGACGTGTGTAATTACGGATCTGAGTATCGGCGCATTGGATGTGCCGAGTCGTGATAAAGGATTAAGCTCGATAATGTCACGGTAAAGTGGCTTCGCGCGCGGACGAGCCCGGTAATTACAATCGACGCGTTCCTTTGTGTATCGATCCCGACGTGATAGGAGGTCCGCTTTTTCCGTCATCGTCGCATCGCGCGATATCGCCGATAATCGCCTGTAGCTCGCCCGTCGTGGCGTTTAACTTTGTTGTCGCCGATACCATCGATCCTCATTTATTCGCGCGATAAATATCCGACGTTTTCCCTGACTCTACCGTCGCCTCCTCCTCTCCCCCTCCCCGCCCCTCGACGGAGCGCGCTCGTCCGTTGCACGCGAGAGCCGCGTTATCGCTGTATGTGCGCCTCCGCCGAAAATCTCGGTATCGCTTTCGCGGCCGTGTTATTTGCGAAACAAGATTGATGCGCGTGTGACATTGCACGGAAAGTAGCGAACTCCCTTTTACATTCAGCGCCGTTTACGACCGGCCGAGCAAGCAGCGCCTCGCGCAAACAAACGCACTCGCGCGACACGCAAACAACGCCGGGATCGATGAAATAATTCGATGAGCTCGCAGGAAAAGTGAAATCGCCCGCGCGATCTGCATGATTCATTGCGACCAGTCGCGACCAGTGACGCACGATTTGAAATATTCAATTACATGCCGTCTCGCTGATAACGCCCGATAAGGAAGCAAAATTTAATATATTACGTTTCGCCCCTCGTTGTGCGTTCTTATCGAGAGCGATTCGCGATTCATGCGATTTCGCGCGACTGCAAACACACTCCGATTCCCGCCGGCGGAGATCAAACCAACGTTATTTCCGCCGTGATTGCGCGCCCCGCTGTATGCGACGCTATGCGCGTTTATCAAATTATATAAATGACAATTAATCCGTCGCGCTGCGCCATACGCACGAGTCCCTTGACTAATGACGATTGATCGACGTATGAATAGCGCGCGCGCTATAAATTAAGTTTGTTAATAAACTGACAGACGAACTCGCGCGTCGTCTCGAATTCAATGGGTTGATCGAAACTAGATATTTCTTTTTTTCCCAGCTACAATATCAGGAAAGAATGTTGATAAAACGGCGTTGATTCTTGTCGAGTGTCGAGGAACGAGCGTAGATAAAATTTTAGTACGAATGGCTTTGATAAGCACCGCTCCCGTTGTGTTATTCTGTCCATGATACGACTCTCTGTGCCAGATAAAGCCACATCGCGTGTTTAACGTGGTCGCGGGGCGACTACGTACCGAAAACTTTAGAAACTCGAAACACCCGCGTTTCTCTCTACATCACACACACATACACATACACACACACACACGCGCGCGCGCGTTTGTCGACTTCTATGTCGCAGAGCAAATAATTTGAAGACCGTCATTATAACCGCATCATTAAATTATCAGCTGACTGTTTCAGCGAATCTGACATAATTTTGCACTCTCTCCACCCTCTTTTCCTCTCTCTCTCTCTCTCTCTCTCTCTCTCTCTCTTTCTCATATTGCAAAACTTATCGCTTCGTACTGTATCAAAAAGTAAGTAAGTCTCGCCGACACGTAGCATCGCCTCTTTCCGCGCTTCATCGTTAAAATTTCTGCAGACAAGTCCGTCAAAAAGTTCGAAACAGGTTTCACTCATTCATTCATAAGATCCATGTCGTCCTCGCTGCGAAGCCACCGTCGACCTCAGAGCGAGGCTTCAGGAGGAAGATGTCCGCCGCGTCGGACAGAGACTACAAAGTCAAACTCCATGAGGCGTTCCACGAGGTTCACCGTAAAGTCACCGTGATTCGACATCGGGCGAATTCAGTCGCACGTACAGAGCGATCGCCGTCGTCTCGACGACGACGTATACGACGATCCTCTCCTCTCGGTGGCAGCGCCACCACCTGTTTTGTGATTCATTAACTCACCGGCTTATCGGGATAAGGCAGACTTATCCGGGGCTCGAACCCGACGCTGCGGCTAAACCCGATCTTATTCCAATGGCATCCTACCTATCCCCGTTTCAGTTTCACTCCTAGACCGATGCCGGCGGCGGACCGCGGCTGCTCTTAGGAAGAGCTCTTCGCTCTCTTCCCCCGCGTCCTCCATACGTATGCACGCCCGAACTTTTTATCTACTCGCATGGCCGTCGATGTGCCGTTGGTAGAGCCGCACTTGTAAAAATGGCACGTACGTCGCGTCGGCGAATTGTCCCTTGCCTTCACTTCGCGGACGGCGAAACGCGTTGTCGAGTGCAACGTTCCAATGCGCGTTTATGATGGATTGTGCTCTCTAAACTTCTCGGGGCAAGATCTCAGCCGCAACCAGCGAGATATCTCACCGGGGTCGGACGATCTCGACGGTGAACACACTTCCACTCAGGATCACGCGAGCAGTAAACGCTTAGCTCGAGCTTCAAGCGGGTTCTTGATACGCACGAACGAACGTTTCGATCGATTATGCGTAGTATTTTCCGCATGTATTAACATGGCGGAATATACGAGTCAGATATTTACTTCTCGACTTCAATTAACAATGTTCACTCGACGAGTGAACTCGAGGTGAGGAGACTCTTCCGGTCGAGTAAGAGCGAAGAATTATTCAAGTTCGAGTGATTGCCCGATCACTCTATCACTTTTCGATCGAACAAATTTATGCAGGATCGGTCGAAATTACCGATGACGATGAACGGACCAGACGCGTTTTGACGAGACGAATTCAGTTCTGAAAGCCGGCAATTCTGTTCCCCTGAAACAGAACGCTCGCGTTTCGCTCGCTCATCGTCACGTTAATTCAACCGATCTTTTTCCTTGGTGTAAAAAATGTATTCATACGAGTCCGCGATACAATGTTTCGACGAGCAGGATTATTGCTCGGCGAACAAATCGCCGGGCGGAAAACGCTCCGTCGCCGACGCGAGCGCGCGTGCATTACTCACGCCCCTTAACGGCTTTTCGTTCAACTATCCCCCGTCATTATACTTTTTTTTTTTCACACACTGGCTCGTTCTCTCACGTTGCGCATTATTTGCCGTCGCGCCTGATCGGTCAACAGGTACGACACTGACAGATACGAAGCGGTCGCGGCGGACGAATTAAAATTTCTATCGGAAGCGCTACCCCACATATTATTGTCATTAATATCGCAGCCGGATTACGCGAGCTCTATTAATATCGGCGCGTCGATGGAAATTAATGCCAGCGTCGACCGCGATAAAAGCAACGCCGCCCTCTAATGAAAACGCGCGGACGCAGGCATAGAGAGAGAGAGGGAAGGGAGAGAGGGGGAGAGAGAGAAAGAACATCGAGCGTCGATCGGGCCGAGATTGCGAGTGAAAATTCGGGCCGAGGAGAATCCCGGCCGCGGAAAATCTGTTACCGCCCGACGGGCTCCGCTATTTTGTCAACAAGACGGCATACGGTCCGCACCCGATCGCCCGCTCCCCCGGCCCCCGTTAGTCATTAACTACCCCTTTATTATCGCGCGGTCTTGCGATCGGGCTGGCAGATGCGCCAAAGTCAACCCTTGGTGCCCCTCCCGGTCTAATGGTGTTGACAAATTGCTCGGCTAGCCTCTAGGCCTCCCCGAGGGACGCGGCCGCAAAAGTCTCCTCGCCGCGAAACTTATCGACGTTTAGACCGCGGAATTGGACCGCCGCGCCGTTCCGCGCGGCTCCTCTCCCGCGGATCGAGATTTCTCTCTGCATGCGGGGTAAACTTTGGCCGCGCGACGAAAGCCCGAACGAAAGTTCCGACGGTGTCGCGGCGAGCGCTCGCGCGATATATCGCCCGCAAATCTGTGTTTTATCGGATCGCATTCCCGCTCTCTCTCTCTTTCTTTCGCTCGAAAGACAACGATCGGCCTATTTTACACGCGTTATATCGCGCTGAAGTGTAAGACGCGCGAGGGAATCGGCCGAGTTCAACGTCTGACAGCGGACGAGCCGAACGCTCGTTTTCACTGCAGGAAACGACGCTCCTGCGCTTTTCACGAATCAAATTCGGCTCCTGCACTCGATTTTCTGCGGTCATTACGCGCTTGGTTCGTTCATCGAATCGAGCAGTCTTTTTTTCCGTATGCGTCATATCGCACGCGTACGCAGGAAATTCTTACGCTCGGAGAAAATTTCCCTGGTGATGGCGAAAGGATCGCGATTTCCGGTACACTGAGAAGGAAGTGGTGTTTGGTCCATTTGCAACCATGGTCGCTTTTTATGACAAGTGTTATTATGACGT